CTGTTGCTAAGGGGAGTAGCTTGGACTGGAGTCAGCTGGGTTTCCTCTCTCTCCCTGTGTGTGAAATGCTCGCTCGCCCGCTCTGCTTTGCCCTCGATGACACCGGCCTCCCTCCGCTCCCTCTTCCTCCCCTCCCCCGCCAGCGTCTCTCCCACATATTTGCAGTGGGACACGTGCGAGAGGAGAAGGAGCACACGCTGAAAACTTCTTGTGAATATTTCATGCAAGATTTAGCGCTTTAGTCTGAGGGTCTGAGGCTCTAGACCCAGGACTGAGGCTGTAGATCCTGTAGTTTTATTTTGAGTAATTATTTTCAGGATTAAACTTAACAGAGAAACTATCTTTAACAAAGTACGGACCTCATAAAAGTGCATTTCCATAACACGCTCACACAGACACACACGCAGACACACACGCTCAGACAGACACAGACACACACACACAGACGCACACTCCTCAGTGGAGAGTTTCATTAACGCATGCAGCATTACATCATGAGAGAATCGTCACACTTCCTGTTTCCTGGCACAGCTCCTCTCTTTGTTCACACACTTAAACACACGCACACACACACACACAGTTACACAAATCGACTCACACACAGTCACACACACTCACACTGAGACCCTGTGTTACCAATGCTTGCATCACTGCAGACTGTTCTCACCTGTGTTTACTCCAACAACAACACAACTGTAACAGGTTTGTTTAAGAAGGAAACTTCTGTGGTATGTGTGCACCTGGTCTCTCTCTGGTCTCTCACTCTCTCTGGTCTCTCACTGGTCTCTCTCTGGTCTCTCTCTGGTCTCTCTCTGGTCTCTCTCTGGTCTCTCTCTGGTCTCTCTCTGGTCTCTCTCTGGTCTCTCACTGGCCTCTCTCTGGTCTCTCACTCTCTCTGGTCTCTCTCTGGTCTCTCACTGGTCTCTTTCTTGTCTCTCTCTGGTACCTCTCTGTCTCTGCCTCTGTCTCTGCCTAGTGATATGTTAGTTCCATATGAACCAGCCCGGACTCTGAGGAGCACAGGGACTGGACTCCTGTTAGTGCCCAGAGTCAGGACTAAACATGGGGAGGCTGCTTTTCAGATTCATGCTGCTAAAATCTGGAACAATCTTCCTGAAGATGTGAGACAGGCCTCCTCTCTGACAATGTTTAAAACCAGGTTAAAGACAGTTCTGTTTAACTGTGCATACAACTGAGGGATTTTATATTATTCTTTTTTTTTATGTACTGTGATTATTTATGATTTTAATGCTTTCTTATGTTCAGCACTTTGAGTTGCCTTGTGTATGAAATGTGCTATTGAGAATGAGGAGTTGACGTCACGGCACAGAGTCCCCCCTCCCCATCCCCCCTTTGCCGACATATTGGCTGCGCACCGGTGGCGGCAGTACAGTTTGTTTACGTGTGTTGTGAACGCGGTAGTAGCGGAGGTTCTTGCTATTCCGCACTGTTTTATCATGCCTGGAAATAACTGCTGCGTTAAAAACTGCTCCAATACCTCCCACGATGGATATGGAAAACCTAGTAACAACGGGATACAGTTTTTTAGGTTACCGAAATGGAAAAAGCATCAAGGGGAGCAATTCTCTGACCTGACAAGGAGACGTCGGATTGCTTGGTTGGCTGCAATTAGAAGAAAGGACCTTACTTTCGATCACACACCCCTGTCGACGAGAGTGTGTTCTCTGCATTTTCACTCTGGTACGTTCTCTAAAAATGTATTTATGTAGTTGTCTCTTAAAGCTAGGAAGTGTAGGTTAGCATGTTATTATGGTTTCTGTAGTGCCTTTGTCTCTGTGTCTTTGTTACCCTCTCAGGCTGTTTCTTACTTAGCACGTGTTCTGCGAGGTCTTTGCCAGTGTAAAGCATAGATTACATAGATTGTACACATAATCTAATTATTCTGTTGTACATAAACCTTCATATGACATTATGAGGTGACCTAAAAAGTACTTGAGATGCTGTTCATGACATAGTTGCCAGTTTAAAGCATTGATTACATAGATTGTGCAAATTATTATATTAATTATATGTTGTTATTATTCTCGTGTAGGTAAACCAGCATATGAGATGTTGGAGAACCACCCTGACTGGACACCATCCCTGTTGTTAGGCCACAATGATGTACAAAAAACAGATGAAGCGAGATATCAGCGGCAAGTAAGGCGCAGGTCCCTGCCACTGGAGCGGCAGCCACCTCCAGCCCAACACCAGCCGCAGGCGCCGCCGCCTCCAGCCCTAGACCAGCTGCAGCCGCCCCCAGCCCTAGACCAGCCGCAGGCGCCGCCGCCACCAGCCCTAGACCAGCCGCAGGCGCCGCCGCCACCAGTCCTAGACCAGCCGCAGGCGCCGCCGCCGCCAGCCCTAGACCAGCCGCAGGCGCCGCCGCCGCCAGCCCTAGACCAGCCGCAGGCGCCGCCGCCACCAGCCCTAGACCAGCCGCAGGCGCTGCCGCCACCAGCCCTAGACCAGCCGCAGGCGCCGCCGCCACCAGCCCTAGACCAGCCGCAGGCGCCGCCGCCGCCAGCCCTAGACCAGCCGCAGGCGCCGCCGCCGCCAGCCCTAGACCAGCCGCAGGCGCCGCCGCCGCCAGCCCTAGACCAGCCGCAGGCGCCGCCGCCGCCAGCCCTAGACCAGCCGCCAGCTGACCCGGACATGGAATGTGGACTCTGCACATCTAGACGAGATGTTATCAACAATCTTCTTGAAGAAAACAGACAGCTGAAGCGTGACCTTGATACGTACCGGATGAATGAGAACTTTCTGAGTGGTGATGATAACACAGTGAAGTATTACACGGGGCTTCCAAACTTTGCATTGTTCCAGACACTTCTACTCTACCTAACTCCAGATCTGCCTCAAGGTAGAATGAAGAAGCTCTCACCCTTCCAGCTTGTCCTATTGACTTTAATGCGCCTCAGACTGGACCTTCCAATACAGCACCTCAGCCATCTGTTTAGAGTACATAGGACAACAGTCGCCGATGCCTTTCACCATACCCTTGGTGTGATGTACGCACAGCTGTGTCCATTGGTGCACTGGCCAAGTAGGGAATGCTTATTGACCAGTATGCCACACCAGTTTGTGGAGTCATTTGGGAACAATGTGGCTGCCATTGTGGACTGCTTCGAGGTGTTCATCGAGAAACCTTCCAATGTACTAGCAAGGGCACAGACTTTTTCTCAATACAAACACGCATACACTATGAAATACCTAATCGTGATCACGCCCCAGGGTGTAATTTCCTTCATATCGAACGGGTGGGGTGGGCGCACAAGCGACAAGCATATAACCGAGCAAAGTGGTTTCCTGAACAAGCTGTTACCAGGTGACATTGTGCTGGCAGATAGAGGCTTTAATATAAGAGAACATGTGGGCATGATGTGTGCTGAAGTGAAAATACCTACATTCACCAGGGGTCGTGCTCAGCTTGAGGCGAAAGATGTGGAGGAGACTAGGGCCATAGCACATCTCAGAATTCACGTGGAGAGGGTGATCGGTGTTGTGCGCAACAAATTCAAATTCTTACACTCAACTGTACCTGTGCACATGCTTGTCAAATGTGAGGGTGAAAACCTAATGCCTTTGGATAAGATTGTCATTGTTTGCTGTGCCTTAACGAACATGTGCAAAAGTGTTGTTTGAGTACCTTATTCTTTACTGTATCTTTTATTTTTAAATAAATGCATGAAACAACTTGATATGGTTTACCAATATTTATTGAGAAATGAATATTTTTTTTGTTACAAACGTGTGCAGTCAAAGTACTGTTTCCAGCATGTAAACATGCCCAACATAGGTAAAAATGATAATAAGAGTCATACTTTTCTTAGTGCAAAGGGACACAAAACACTGCAAAACAACGTGTGCATTCAAAGTACTGTTTCCAGCATGTAAACATGCACAAAATAATAAAATAAATTATAACATAAATAATAATAACAAATAAGACTGTTATTAGTGCAAATGTACAAAAAAAAACACTGCAAAGGCACACAGCAATAACAATAATACAATTTTAAGAAATAGGAAAAACCTATTCTGCACAACAAGGGCAAAACCATGGCGTGTCACCAAAGGGTTTATTAACAAGCCCCACACAACTGAAGTGAAACCACTGGACTGGAAAACGTAAATGCGTATAATTTAAAGTGCTCTGGAATATGAGGAGCGCGTGAAATTCTGGGGGCGTGCCCCCGTTGCGCAGCCAATATGTCCGACAGGCTCAGAGCCCCCCCCAAATCACCCCAACTCGGCACGTGACTCCTCATTCTCAATACAAATAAACTTGCCCTGCGTCTGTCTCTGTCTCTCCCTCTGGTCCCCTGATGTAGATTAGACAACAGCACATGGATGCTAACATGATGTCCCAGTGGTCCATGACAGTCCTCTTCAGGTGCAGGTGTAGAACGTTCTCTGCAGAGGAACATATAGAAGTGAGCGGCTCCTGCCGTTCCATTCTGTGATTCTTACATTTATTTTCACTTGAAGGTCAAATCCATATGTGCTGCTGCGGCCTGCGATGAAAGCAACCTGAGATCAACTAGAAAGCTCTCTCCAATCCCATCTGTTTGACAGGCAGAGAGAGAGAGGGGGGGCGTGCTAGACGAATGAGAACCAGGCCAGATCAGGCTGAGAAGGAGGTGAGGGGGAGGGGCTGTTTAGAGAAAGACAGGAGTGAAAAAAGACACGGCAGGCTGGGGGTTGGGCTCCGAGCTGCGAGAGAGTGACTGTTTCTCCGTTCCTTTTGCTTCTCTTTGTTTGAATATGAGTGACAGAAAGCGAGGCTTGGATGTCTGTGTCCTGGAGTTGACAGGTTTGTAGAGATCATTCCAAAGGGGCCACAGAGCAGCAGCCGACCCAGAGCAGGAGAGAGCTTTAACACAGAGCAGCCCTGGACGCAGACAAAGACCACTTCTCCTGGATTGTCTTCTCACCTCCTTCTTTGCCCAAACTGACTCGGTGAAGTTTGGGAGCCGCCGTGAGCTGGGACCACAGTGTCATGCAGGAGCCCTGTTTTCCTCTGGATGAGAGAGACGGGAGGTGGGGGCCCACGCCACTTTAAAGGGACCACAGTACACAAAGCTGGGAGAGCGAGGAGCGAGCAGAGGAGGAATCTTGCTGAGCTGGCTCCTGCTGCTGGCTTTCCACTCCCTGAGTCTCCGGGGCACAACACGAGGAGCTCCGCTGAGCCCTGAGATATTGGTAAGAGCCTGTCAGCTGTCGTGGTTGTGTGGAGAATATGCACCGGAGCTAGGCTAAAGCTAAAGGCTAAAGCTGGGCACACACAAAGGGAGCAGTGTGCTGCAGATGGGGATGCCTTCAGGGTCTGTGACATTGTGCTCAAAGTTAGCACCAGTCACTGAGCGATGGAGGCAGACAAGGATAAACAAGAACAATCTATTTCTCTGAGTCCAACACTGAACAGGGAGATGCTTCTGTTATTACTTCCTGGATAACTTCATTAGATCTTTTCAGCTTCTATTGTATCACCTTTAATCTGATTCTTCTGTTGAAGCGTTGGATGGAGTCAGTCCCTTTACAGCAGAGTGTGGACAATGAATGGACTCTGACACCCTCCAGGCCGCGGGGCTGACACCCTCCAGGCCGCGGGGCTGACACCCTCCAGGCCACAGGGCTGACACATGTCTCCATTGCCCGGAGCTTGGGCTGATGGTGTCTTTTTGTGTTTGTTGTGATTTCTGCATCTGTTGGAGAAGCTGCACTTGAGCCGACAAATGTCCACAGCTCTCCTCAGTCTCCAAAACACTGCATTGGACCTGTCCTGGACCTGTCCTGTGGTGCAGGGTTCTGGTTCTCGTGGTGCAGGGTTCTGGTTCTGTAATGCAGGGTTAAATGCTCAGCCTGCTCTGTCGGTGTTGGAGCTCACATTATTTAGTGAAACATTCCTGGCTGGAGGCGGTCCCAGCTCCACTGTAAACTGATCTACTGTACGAGCGTGCACGTGAGGGCGCCCTGCACATGCGCACGTGTGGCCCCCACCGTCCCTTCCCCCAGGCCTCGCTTTCTTTCTCCCCTCTCGTCTTCCTGCTTCCAGCTAATCCTGGTTTAGCTCAGGTCGTTCAGACGTTTCTGAGGCTGTTTGAACTCGTCTGACTGTTTCCTGTTTGGAAATGAACAGAACAAATAGAGGTTAAAGTAAAGAGCTGTAACAAGCTAACGCTTATGCTAACTACACTTCTGTCCTCTCTGTTCAGAGCAGAGTGCTAAACAAAACTCCAGTCGCCTCTCATGGTATTTACCCAAACGGCAGAATTCACACTGAAATGGGTTCAAACACAGAGATACTGACTTTAACATGGTTCTCGTTGTACAGTCTGACTGTAGTATGTTCCTCAGATGGAGCTCCGTGCTCAAGTCTGTATCGAAGTGTCGTAGATTAATCACACAGAGACGGATCGTGGCATAAATTCTATTTTTCTTTGTTTTGGCAAAAACCCAGTGTGAAATCAGGCCACTCTGAACGAGTGTGAACTGTTAGCATGCGAGTTGTTGTCAGCCTTACCGTGGTATCTGTAGGTCCTGGGTTTGAATCGGGGCCTTTCTGAGTGGAGTTTGCATGTTCTACCCGTGTCTGCGTAGGTTTACTCCGGGTGCTCCGGTTTCCCCTGCCACTAAAAACATGTACAATAGGTCTGTGCCTCCTGTACTGGCCCCTCCCATCTCTGTGTGGAGTGAGAGGCCAATGTAACAACTGTAAACCGCTTTGACTCTGGTCTGAGAAAGGCGCTATATAAACATTACTTATTTACTTATCTGACCTGTCATGTCTGTTACTGCTGAACATTCTTATCTGAGTCTCTGTGACTGTCTGTTCTAACCTCATTCTTTTCCTTCAGTCTGAAGTGACTCCAACAAACTGCACAAGTGCGACGTCCGCTGTGAGTCAGACACTGACACTGCTGTGACTCGGTTGTGACTGTTTTTCTGACCCGGTTGTGACTCTGTTGTAACTCGGCTGTGACAGTGACCAATGACTGTGTTTGATTCTCTGATCTGCTGTTGTTGATTCCACAACTTAGTGAAGTCCTCCAGAGGTTGTTGTTGTTAAGCCTAGTGTATACTCGCGCGGCGCGGAGCCTACGGAGGTGACGTGACGTCACTTGGGCAACGCGTTGGTCACCGCAAGGCCCTTACGTTGCCTGCCGCGCAGCATCGAAATTTTCTAACTACGTAAGGGTCGCCGCAAGGAAGCTCCGCTGTGATTGGTCCGTGTGTGTGTATTGGTAGGAAGCACGGAGCTGCTGCAGCAGGGACATGGACGAGGCACTATGGAGCAGAGAGCTTTGTGCTTCGAAGGAAAAGCAGTTTGGGCTCAGAGCCTGATATACAGGAGACTGTGGACTATCTAACATATATATAACTTATAAACTGTGCAGTTGTTTGTTTTGCACTGTTCCTGTCTTTGTTTGAATCGTAGCTGCGTTTGTTGCTTTCCTCCTGCACTCGTAAATCATTCATGTTTGTCTCAGATATTTACCACTATTATCGTTTTGCTGTTTGGGCTGAAAACTATTTAATAATAACTATGTTTCCAACAAGAACTATGTCTTTATTCACAGCATCACAGTTGAAATGACTTATAAAATAATGAATCCATAAAACTATCACATAAACCTACAGTAGAAACATTGAGCTCAAACAGCTTTGTTTGCTATTGTTGTTCTGAAGAGGACAAAGTAGCAGCGTAAATGGGACCGCTCCTGTGTGATCGCCCTCATGTGGTTTGTTGTGGGATTACAAAATTCTCCTCAAAACTCCGTAAGGGGAACGCGCCAGTATAACATAAATTGTGCTTACGTAGGTCCACCGCAACCGCTAACGTAAGCCACGCCGCGCAAGTATACACTAGGCTTTATTCTTTGGTCACATGTACAGCTCTCTCAGCTTTAATGTGTGGCCACAGCGTCTTGTTACCGTGATGTCATCACGGGCGGGGCGTCTTCATCATCTGCCCCGCCCCCTTTTGTGATTGGTCCAAACCATAGACTGTAAATATTAACGGCACTCCTATCTCCGCCGTTCTAACTAATGTGCCACAACTGCCGCGGTATGTGGGCTGTTTCAAAATGGCCGCAGGGGCTGGAAAATGTGAAAAAACGCATCTGCGCATGCGTCAGCTGCACGAGCCCCATTTATTTAACGGGCGCCTTCTAAAGTCCACAGCGACTAAACTAGACTGGTCCAAAACACTCCCCTCAGCATTGACACATGTGGAACGGAGCTTTGGGCCAAGAGCCAACTTTTGGACCATCCTGTAAATACGTTTTCAAGAGGTCAGCTAATGCTATATGTTAGCATTGGCTAATTCTTATTCCGGGTCCACCCCCACAGGCCCAGGGTGGTATTGCAGCATGTCAGCGCACGTCATTTTGGCCACTTTTTGGCCAGGACCCGCCCCCACTGGTCCCAACCCACGGGAACTTTTGAGCTGTGGTTTCAAAGTGTCAGAGAGAGCAAGATTTCAAACTCCACCTTTTAATCTGAGAACATCTGTATCTCTTTGAAGAGTTTCTCATTCACAAGATACTCTACCCTTCTGTACTGTACTCTACCCTACTCTACCGTACTGTACTCTACCCTATTGTACCCTGCTCTACTCTACCCTTCTGTGCTCTACCGTACTGTACCCTACTCTACCCTTCTCTGCATTTCTTGTTCTGCTGCTGGTTTTTCACTAAAGTGCACTTTTCTCGTGATGGTGTCAGATCTGAAGTCGACACCAAACTGGAACATTCCAGAGCGAGCCCAGAGACGGGCAAGAGGCCGATGGTAGAAACATACCGCTGAAGTAAATAAATTATGAATGTGACGAGTAGAGACTAAAATGACCATTAATATTCTTTTATTACTTAATGAACAGAATCATCACAACATCAAAAAACCTCAACAGTCTGAGGACTTAACAATATTGTGGATTCACCAACAACAGATCAGAAAATCAGACAGAGCAGGAAACGTAATAATAACAAACACTTAGACATTGGTCCATAAGGAGCAGAGACCAATGCCCTTGAAGCCTCCTGCAGCTCTCCTCCCTCCTTCGCCCTTCCCCTTCTCCTCTGTCCTCTCTCAGTACATGTAGTGGGAGGTGCGAGCCTGACCTTTTCTGTCCATGTGGTGTTGTCTGACTCTGAGGAGGTGTGAGTCAGCGCTGCAAGGCCTGGACTCTGTTTACGAGCTCAGAAAGAAAACCGACTCAGGAGGGGGGGGGGTCGTGGGAGCTGCTTTGTTGTGGCGCCACAGTTTGAAACACGTCGGTCCTCTGTGGTTTGACTGTTAGGTGTAAACCGTAAACTGCGAGTTAAAGCTTTTATGGATAGAATCACAGATCATCTGTGGTTATTGCAAATAAATAAATAAAATCAGGTTTGTCTTTGTCCCAGTGTGGACCAGGGTAAGAGAATAAGAATAACTGTTCTGTGTTGACCCCTCTGGTGGGGCTTGGGGCACTTTTACTTTTATATGGAAGTCAATAGGAGCTAGAGAGAGGAGCCAAACTTCACCACGAGCACTTTACTATGGGCTTCATTGAGCTAGCATGTTAGCAGTGTCCATCTGTATACAGTCTGTGCTTAGCGCTGAAAACTGGAATTGTAATTGTTAATTAATAATGAAAAAATATACTGTATCATAAACGTTGATAATGTAATCACACAACACCTTGTTTAATCTGGCATCAGTTGTAGTAGCATTAGCATTAGCCTTAACAATAGCAGCTGCAGTAGTTGTGGTAGTTTCGTCAGACTTTGGTATTTGTCGCTGCCTGGACCTGACCCTCTGACTCAGTGAGTGTGGCTCCTCTGCAGGTTTTCACTCGTCCTCCGCTTCATGCTCACAAAGCTGTAGACCCAGGACCAAGGCTGTAGACCCAGGACATGGGCTGTACTCACCCTCAGGGGACCCTGAGGACCTGAGAAGACCCAGGACCCAGGACCGAGGCTGTAGACCCAGGACCGAGGCTGTAGACCCAGGACCGAGGCTGTAGACCCAGGACCGAGGCTGTAGACCCAGGACCGAGGCTGTCGACCCAGGACCGAGGATGTAGACCCAGGACCGAGGCTGTAGACCCAGGACCATATATTAGAAGAAATGATTATGAAACATGAATAGTTTCCTACATGAGTCTGTATCACTGTGGCCCGATGTGACCCGCGTGTGCTGCTCCCGCTCCTTCCTGGTCTCAGAATAGCATCGTGTCCGGATATAGCCTCTCCTGCTCTGAGGGAGTCATCGCTGGTGGAGGAGAGAAGAGGAGAGAAGAGGAGAGAGGGAGAGAGGGAGAGAGGAGGGGGAGAAGGGGGAGAGAGGAGGGGGAGAAGGGGGAGAGAGGGGAAGAGAGGCTGGACCAGTGCGTGAGAACCAGCAGAGGCGTGATTGCACAGTTCACTCTGCTGCTGTCAGGGAATTCCAACGCGCTGACGTCACAGCAGGCCTACGCACAGCTGCCGCGGAGCTGCCCACACGCTTCTGTCTGGAGCTGCAGCCACAGGGCCGCGCTCACAAGTTCCACTTTGGGCTCGAGTCAAAGAACCTTTGCAGAACAATATAAGATTTCCTGAGAAGTTTTAGAACTGAATTCGAAGGAAACTTAGAGGTTCCACAACACAAACTTTAGATGTGCCC